CTATGAGTCTTTCTATTTTGTTGATTTATTAATTTTACTCTTTAGATTCCAAATATAAGTGAAATCCTATGGCATTTATATTTCTCTGACTGACTTCTTTCACTCAGCATAATACTTTCTAGTAGGGACCCTCTCATATTTTTTTGTAACCTAATTCTTCCTTCTTTCCCCTCTCCTCTTCTCCTCTCCTCTCCTCTCCTCTCCTCTTCTCTCTTCCTCACTTCCTTAGGAGGAGGTTTTCCAAGCCACAGTCCTGGAATTTCTGAACCAAATACTCTTGTCTCCATTATTATTTTTACTTCTGGAAATAATGTTTCAGACAGCAGTGTCTCACAGGAAAGGAAAGTCATTGTACTGCCAGTACTTGCTAGATGTTTCTTTTATTTCTCATTTCTTTTAGACATCCTTAATAAATTAGATACCCTCTCCCCATATTAATTGAACCAGGACTTTGAAACTTTCATTGTTTATTGTAATTGACCTACGAATATTTTTGAAGTGTTAGATTCCTTCTATTGTACCTGATTTTTTTTCTTAAAAAGGAACATGTATAGATTTGTGACCCTTTTATTTGCGGATTTTGTATGGCAAATCAGTTTCTTGTTTAGCAAAATTCCTTCCTTCACTTTGAGCTTGGCGATATGACTGGCTTTGGCCAGTGGGGTGTTAGTGGATGTGATAGGACCAGAGGCTCTAACTATGTTTATTAGTATGTCCTGGGCTTGCCCTCTTGTGCTTCAGCCATGATAATGAAAAGAACACACTGTGAGAAGTGCTGTCCCACCCTCTGGGCACCGTACTGGAATATGTGAAGCAGGGACGCCCCAGCCAACTTGGTAATCTACAGCCTCAAACAGCTGACAGGCCAACCAACAAGCACTGATGGGAGAAATACATGCTTATTGTTATATATCAGTGATTTTGTGGTTGTTGGTTGCACACCAAAAATAGACTGTTACATGGAGTAACAGTAAATGGTAAACCAAGTTCTACCACTTACTAGTAGAGCTCAGATATCTGTATTTGAAAATGAAAGGTTTGCATTCCTTGAACCCCCAAGTTATTTAACAAGATTTAAACCTCATGATCCATGAGTTTTCCACACTTTCCACAGCATATTTCCCAGAACACGGATCAAAATAGAACCATTATGAAATGAAAGCAGAAAGAATGGGATTTGCTTGTGTTCAATATAGAACTCTGAAAGTTCTGCTGAAGGGAAGAGGTGTGCCCGGAGAGGCTTCCGTGCCAGTTGGTTGCAGAGTACCAGACGGTAACATGCTACTTCCCACTAAGTCAGCCTTCAGGGATCCAGAGGTAAAGATCAGACGCAGGCTTTACTCACCTTCTCTAAGAACAGAGCATGTTTACTACCTGGCATAAGACAAGATTCAATGCATCATGGAGAAGGATAAAAAGATGGAGTAAAAAATGGCAACTAGAGTGTTGAAATGGAAATGTTCTTGTTTCGCTTTGTTTTCTCTTGAGCATTTGTGTCCTGGGCTTCGGCATCAAAAATGAAAATGACAAACTCTGGTAGCACTGTCCCACCCATAAAGGCCCATAATGAAAACATCTGCATAAAGGGGATTCCTGCTTTGCATGAGAGGCTGACTGTGGCACATATAAGGTCCTACCCATCCCTAAAGTATCAGGACATCATACAAGAATGAGTTTATTTGAAGCAGTCACGTGTAAGAACCTAAGTAACCTTTGTTCATGGCAGATACTTTAAAAGCTCTAATGTCCCTTAACTTACCCTCCCCCTCAAAAAAAAGCAGAAATCTCTTTAAGTATCTATTGTATCCTTTTTACACATTTAAAAATTGCCTTTGACCACAGATTTCCTCTAGTTATTCACTTGCTGCTTGCATGTATGCCAAGGAATCATTTCCATAAGGATGATATATTTCTAAAATCAAATTTGCTGACTGGCAAAATTAATACATTTACTTGTAATAAAATTACTTTTGAAGAGGACACTAATATAGAATTAAAATTTTGTCATTTAGGTAATATTTTTAAAGAAGGAAGCATTCTTATGCAACATGACTGAAATGCTCTGGGGAGCTCTAAAATCATTTTTTCATTAAATAGAGCTGAAATTATGCGCACAACTAGAACATGAGAAATAAAAGAGGAAAACAAAGTATAGGACACTAGGGAATGAGAAAATGGACTGTAAAAGGCACAGTGTTCAAGGTTACCCAGTGAGTCAGGAAAAAGGGGGAGGGTTGGGCTGATGCTAAGACCCAAAGGATATTCACATTGATGTCCTTGTATTAAATCTGCCTTTTTTAGTAGATAATGTATTCATTCTCTTATATGGGGGAAGATATACATATTTTCCATTCTCTTAGGGTCTAGCATATGTTACTTCACAAGTGTTTATCAAGTAAAAAGATAAATAAATAAATCCCTAGTAAGCCAAAGTTAAAGCATCATTTTACATATCTAATCTCATTATTCTCACAACCAATCACCTCTGAAATAGGTATTATATAACTTCTGGTTAATAGATTAATTTAGGTGATGTTTCACCATATGAAGCTGTTTAGCAAAACTTTGTAAAGAGTCTAACTCTTAAGAAGGCTCACAGAGGGCGCTATTAAATATAAATACAAAACAGGTGAAGATAGAATAAAAATGCCCTTTGAAGAACTCAAATTCAAATACAAAGTTGATATTTAAGAGAATGGGAGCAGTTTGATTATTTTATTTTATGTGGCCCATCTTACTCACTAATTAGTAGGGACATAAATTGGGCATGTCTGTACAAAATCCTTAGTTTCTATTGATAAATTATTTGTGCACGAGGGCATCTGGCAGTTAAGCCACAAAAACTTTAATAGAAGGCTTTGACATCATATTGATCTACCACAAGAAAGCAGTCCTACTTAGAAAATTAAGTTTCTGTGCTCCGTGTCTACTTCTTCAAAGCACTGCTCATTTGCTTTGCCAATGGATACAGTAACGAGATTTACTGTAATAAAGACATTGGATTCCTTAATATAAACATGGGTCTCTGCCCCAAAGGTACTGCTGCCTCTGTGACAAGTGGTCTGACCCAAAGTCAAATGCAGCAAAGGCATAAGAAAGCAACATGTATTCCTAAGTTTAGAGACAGAAAGCAAAGGAGGGAAGGAGGAAAGGAGCATTACCAGCATCAGATAAGATCTCAGACTCTACAACTAGGCTCGCTAGGTTCATTCTTAGCCCTTCCTCTTACTGTGCAACCTTGAGAAAGTGACTTAACTTCTTTAGGACTCAGTTTCCTCATCTATAAAATGGAGAAATTAATAGTACCTATTGCATAGGGTTATTACAAGGATTAATGAGTTAATATTCGTTTATGCTTAAAACAGTGTCGGGTATACAGTAATCCCAATATAAATGTTTAATAAGTACAAGAAGGTAGAAAGAGTGAGAGAGAGACTACTGGACACTCTGTGTCCTTAAAGCATTGTTTTGCTTCCTTCCAACGGAGTCCTTTACTTTCCACCTCTGGGGCCACTTGATTTCTACCAGTAAACTTAATCCCATTTCCGGTCTGACCCCAAACAACTCTCATCCAGAGAGATTTAAGCAGCTCTAACTCAGTAGTTCAGGTGACTCAGCATTAAACCAAGTTTGCTGTTATTCTTGTCCTGACCCTGTGTCCCAGTTTTAGTCCCTTGTTCCTGTAATCAAGTCCCCGCCTTGTACTCCAATTCTAGCATACTTCTCCCCTGTGGCTGAGTCCTGGCTAGCAGGACCGGCCCAGGTCCTCCCGTTCCTTCCCGGCAGACATCTCTCAAAGGGCAGCCTCTGCACTAGAAACCACACTTTGGCACACACAGTTGTTTGAACCTTTGAAAATCAGTTACCTGTACTTAAAAATTGCAGACTTTTACACAATGTTCAAAGTTCTGACTTCTATTGAAACATTGGGTGGTCTGACAACACTTGGCCCCCTTGGCACCAACCCACTGGAGCTGAGTGGTAGCTGCTCCCTTTGGAAGGCCATGTGCCCTCTTATTCCCATTGTACCATTAGTTTGGATCTGGATCTAGATCTGTTTGCTTGGCCCTTGCAAGCATTTGAGGTTGAGGTCTAAGACTGAGGGTAGCTGGTGCTTACCAAGCACGTACGTTGTGCCAAGTATTCTTCTAAGTGTTTCACATGCTTTTTTCATTTAACCAAAGTTCATAAACCTGTTTGTCCTTCTACCGACTCTCCTTGCAGCCCTCTCCTTGTTTCCAACCCTCTGTCTGCATGGATCGGTATCTGTTCTATCATTCCAAATCACTATTCTCTAACCACCAGGTCAGGGCCACTTGCAAAGCTTTGTTGAGCCTCCATAATGTCAACCACTCACACATGATGTGGCCTGTTGCCTCTCCAACCTCCCTTGCCCAATTGGACCCCGTGGTCAAGAACTTTGGTCATCAGAGTGGTTATATTTCAGTTATAAAATCTCAAGGTTTATTGATAGGAGTGTTCCTATTATCTCATGCCAGGCTTTTATAAAACCATACAATTTATTATATATAGACAGTCTTCACTCTCACAAGACTTTTGTTCCAGTTCTTGTTAGAAGCCCAGCAAAAACCCACCAAATATTTATTGACGCTTACTTATGTTTTAGGCTTTGTAACAGAAACTGATTTGAATATTTACTAAGAGATCCAAAGAAGTTTGCTCATCTCTTCTACTAGCACAAGCAATTTAATCTCTTTTCAGTGAACCACCTAGGAAACTAACATTATTTGAACACAATGGGCAATAATTTTTCTCATGACAGGCCCTGTGCTTTCCAAAACAATGGATAAAATAGAAAAACATTTGCATGATTAAACCGAGATTTAGCAAATGACAAAGAAACCCCCTAAACTCATTCTACACACCATTCCATAAAATTATCTGGATTGAGTAAGACTGAATATGTATTAAAATTGAAACATAGCTGATTAAGTTCTACAATAGTTTTTAAAGAAACCCTTAATAAAAATGTTACTTACATAGGGAATCGTGTCCAACGTATCAGTGTTGACAATTATAGGAGCGGGGCTGGCCTGAAAAATAGAAGAAGAAAATATCGTTAATAGCCTATTCAAAGAATCTGTTAACTTTTTAAACAAAGAGCTTAACAGTATTTCTTGAGGACCCTTATAGGCACTGTGTCAAGTGTTAGGAGAAAAAAATGAAATGGCTCAAAGTTCCCAACACCCTCTAAATATTTGTTTGCTACACTTACAACATAATGAAATGAAGTAAGCATTCATAGAACTTGTACTCATTTTCTCTTAAATTTTATCCAGCAGTTTAGAAGATGAGGATTGGTGATGCTTAAGAGGCAAAGATTTCTAAAACATTGGGTGAGAGCTAAAGTTGGTAACATTTCTTTTTAAAGTGGCTGTGCTAAGTAAATTTGATTTCCCACTCTAAGAAGCAAAATTAAACTTAAACCAATATTTACAATCCTTCCCCTTAAACTGCCTTTTGAGAGTATGTTGTATTCAATGAAAAATAGAAGGGTTCACTTAGTGATACATATGTTTACCTATTATGCATGCTGTCATCATTTATTTATTTTTTTGTTATTTATACATTTCTGATCATATATCTTAAATATATGATCATATATCAAAATCTTTGGATAGAAAATGAACACTTAGTCAAAGTGGCAGAAAATCTTATTGAATATGCTAAACTATTTTTTAAATTGTACAAACTACAGTCATTTGCCTTAAAGTTGAGTAGGAATCTGTGTAAAATATGATATAGGAGAGCTACAAGCCAAGTCATTAAAAAATAAGAGAGTGCAATCTGTATTTGCATCGACCAATCTGACTTCATGAATATTGAGTAGACCTATCTTTATTTTCTAGTTTCTAGAATTTCCATAGCAACTTTCCCTCCATCCCTGAAGGATCCTTAATCTTCTTACCAAATTGCAGATTTCATTTAGATAGAGGAAATACCCTCATCATGATTAATGGAGCGCTGTTCTTTACGACGCAGTGGTTTTGGCAAGTATTCAACTTTTAGGGCATTTCATTAGATGTGCCCTCTGGAGTTAACAGAGTTAACAGGTTTTTAATGTCAATCTGTGCCTATGGGATCCTAACCGAATGATAAGACAAGTAGCAATCCAGCAGATTTTACAAAATAAAATACCATGTTTTAACTAAAAACACTGGACATTCAGAACATGTCCCTGGTCTACGTATCTACATAGTGGGTCAACTAGATGTTCCTGGTTTGTAAAACTCCTACGAGCAAGTACCTTGTGGGTAAATGGGGGCTTTGGAGAAAGATAGTTTCCAGGGGACTCCACATAAAAACATGCTTGTGAAGAGGCATGTGGTGTGGGAGAAGAATGAGAGGTTTAAAATTAGAAGACCTGGGTTCAAGTTTGTTTTATCAACTTCCCAATACTTGAGGACTCTGCCACTTCCTTGTAGTGTGAACTGGGTGAGGGCAAGTTCCTTAACCCCTTTTGCCTCATTTTTTCTTCTCTGTAGAATGGAAATAGAAATAATCACTTTCTGAAAAGGTTGTTTGAGGACTAAATGAGGTGATATATTTGAATGTGTTTGTAAACTTAAATGTCAGAATCAATGTTAAATATTATTAAAAGTGTCCCTAAAGATGGACTACTGTGAGGATATATCACTGTGTAGTTTGTGAACTGTTTATACCCCAGAGAGAAATCTCAATGCTGTGTTAGTGGCTATAACTACACTGAAGAGAATGGATTAGATCCTGTGAACTACAATTTAGTAAATACACTAGAGGTCTGGTGCACAAATTTGTGCACGGGTTGGGTCCCTCGGCTTGGCCAGTGATCAGGGTTAATCGGGGCCATCTCTCCCAGTACCAATCAGGGCTGTTGGGGGCTGGATGTCTGGGGAGGGACCACAGGAGGTTGGCCGGCCGGTTAGAATGTTCAGTCAGACAGACACTTAGCATATTATGCTTTTATTATATAGGATATTACTTACCACTATGCATATAAGGATATACATATATATTATTATTCAATTTCCACAAAAACATATTGATGAGGCATTATTATCACTATGTCTATGCTATAGATGAAAAAAATGAGGCTCAGGGAAAATGAAAGCTGATATTTAACACTGACTTTGTAACTTCAAATCCATTCTTTTCTTACTAAGCTGCTCCTTGATCCTAGCATCTAATCCTGCATTGATTGGAGATCTCTAGCACCACACAAGATCGAGGCAAAGCAAAGGCCACCATGAAGGCAAGTGATGCCTCAGGGTCTTACATATTAGATGTTGAAAGCAATCTGGTGATGCCTTAATGGCTTTTACTGTTGTTACTATTGTTTGTTTTTACTTTTGAGGACATCTCTCTTATGGTTTCTAATTGGTTCCCAGGACTCCAGAAAGTGATGATGCCTTGTCTCCTTTATTTTCCTGAAAAGTTTCCGAGTATCACACCTAATATTGTATTTTACCTTATTATCTAGTATAGTATTGTTACTGAAGTTAGTGAGATATTAATGAAGGAAAGGAAGCAAAGCATATGGGACACGAGCCTGTTTGCTTCACCAGGAAGATACAGCTTCATACCCCAAGGAATCACAGCATTGTCCCTCCTGGGGGATTAAGCCTCCCCTCCCTGCTTCAGGTACCGGATTGTGTATGTGGGGTACTGGGAAGAGGGGGAGATAAGGACATGCACAATAAAGTCAAAATGGGGCAGGGGGTGGTACCTGCCATAGAGACCTGTTAGTCTAACCTGAGAAAAAGGTAATTGACTATGGGGTAGACCCTAATGCAAACCCAGGAAAATTTAGGAAGCTGAGTGAGTATTTTGAAAAAGCTTCTGGTTCTTGCCAGGCCTGAGAAAACATAATTTCAGGTGAACAAAAAATCAATCTCTCTCCCCCGCCCCTCTCTTTTCTCCCCCCTCTCTCTCTTTCTATGCCTCTCTCCCCCTCTCTCTCACCTGCACTCATGCTGTGCATTCATGCATTCTATGCATTCTCTTTAGTCATGTGGCCTTAGTCAAGTGGCCACTAGCCAGTGGGTCCAACAGGCAGGCTCCAGCATGGGTACAGCAGCAAAGCAACAGACTATAGCTGGGAACACAAGCTAAGCTCGTCAAATGCTAGACTGGACTCAGCTTTAATATGGCTCAGGATCTCGGGACATTGACTCTATACCTGGCCCTGATTTTCCATGGTGAATTGGACAGCGATGGGACACTGGAGAACCTCTATAATTTTGCTTCCTGAATAAACCTTGCTATCAGATCTTATCCCCTCTTGTGGATCCCTAGAAATGCTTTTCCTCGTGACACCGCAAGAACCCCATATCCACCAGCAATAGTATGATCAGTAAATATGTACATACTGACTTGATTTGGGGTTTCAACCCATCTTATTTTTGTTTTCTTCTCATATATTGTATTAATATGGTCTGGGAATACATTTATACACAAGCCCATTTCCCATACAGTGACATTCATCACTTTTGTATGCCTATGCTTCTATTTTCCACTTCCTGTGGAATTGGTATTTCCAATCAGACTCTATATTTAGAAAATAACAAAGATTTCCCTATAAATCTTCACAGTATCTGGGTACACAGAAGGAACTCAGTAAATACTTAGGAATTATTGACTAAATGTATCTATAAAGTTTAGATAAGGGTATAAATGAATACAATACCACTTTGTAAGCTTTGGAGACCATTTCTAAGAAAACCCAAAAATTTCTCATTACCATCAATATGACTATGACTACTTTTCTGATATTGACTATCTTACTTCATTAACCAGTCACTATATATTCAGCTTTCCTAAAATAATAATTATTGCATAACTCAGTATATAGACTGTGAAACTTGAAGCACAATCCATGTTACGTAGAAAGTTATTTGCTTCTCAGTGATAACAAATTCCAGAAGCCACAATTAAAACTATATCTATGAAAGTCACTAAAAGTGCATGAACATACACTTTCATGTGTGAATTGTGTGAACACAAACATACATCAGTGACATGTGACATTGGCAGCTCTCTGGTGTGAGTGGCAAGGAGATGTCATGGTGGGCTATTATGAATAACACACTATCCCACTGTGCAGCTAAACCAGGCTCTCTGAAAATCCCCCATTGCTCTACTCCAGGACCCTCACAGACCTTCCCAGACCATTTATAAAGAAACTTCCTGGAATCTTTTAGGCAGTCAATGCCACATATCCACAGAGAATAAAGATCAAGTGGTGATAACACAAAGTGCAGCAGAATTCCAAGTACAGCCCAGAAATGTGCTCTTCTCACCAGTGGGTAATTTCAGATCGTCCCATGGCTCAGCCTGACTGCTGATTCTTGTCTCACTTTTGAAATCATGTGAGTTCATAACTACATGAACTCATAGTTTGATTTCGTTTAGTTTCTGAGTCTTAAAACCAATTCCCTAGTTACTTTGATGGTTTCTTCTAAGCTTTATCTCCACACTTCACAGTGATCTACCATCCCTATACCTTCACTCTCCATATTAGATATCCTCTATAATTGAACCCCTAAATCAAATTGCTAACTTAGCAAATTCCAGCATCCCCCTTTTATATGCTTATTTCCATTAATTGGAAAAATATTTGTAAAAAATATGAAAAAAATATCCTTTTAATCAGAAGTTTCAAGGCTTGACTATATGCAAATCTAGATAAACTTAGACTTAAGCCTTAAGAAAATGAATCTGTCTTGGGTGACCCAAACTGTAATATGTAAATGATTTGTCTTAAGATTCTTTTCCAAAGGGGGAAAGCAGTTTACAAAAAGAGGGAAGAATAAAGGTAATCATAGAGAAGCAGGAAGCAAGCAGAGAGGCTACTAATATAATTTAAATTATGAAATTAAGTTATTCATGAATTCTACCACCTTCCTGTCCTTGGGATCTATGACATAGCCAAATATTTTTATATTACATCAATAACTTTGCTTACATTAAGAAAAAAGTAAACTTCCCTTGCTTGCTACCACGAGAATATAACTAATAAAGATTGCCATAATTCATGCCAATTTTCAAAGGAGTT